TGGAAGCTGGATCTGAAAACAATATTTATTGTTCATTACATCTAGATGCATTTCACTAGAAACTAAAAGATGAAAAAGTAGATATTATGAAATAGAATAAGCCCAGAATCACAGAAAAACAACCTAACAGTTGAGTACTTGCCAATACCGAGTTCTTGTGAAGGCCACTGACTTGAGTCATGGTTCAGATTTACAAGTTTGTTTCACTATGTAAAAAAACACATTATTTGGTCTCTCATCCAATCATAACATGAGCAGTGTCATGTTGGAACTCAACATCATGCTACATAAAAAGGGACAGGTTCTGTGGTATCAGAGTACTTTTACAAGTACTCAGCCATAACAGGACGATGCCTAAAGCTGGTATCGGTGCATCCTTCAAATAAAATGTTTAATAGTTTTATGTATTTGTCCAAACAACTAAGGTTTGGATTTCAAAAAAGGCTTCTAAATATAGAAAAGCTGCAATTCGGGTGTAAAAATCTCATTTACTGTAAATAATCTGAGTTTTACAACTATTTTAATTGTTAACCGAGGAAGCTTTTTCTATTGTTACCATCAGTTTGAGATGTTCAGAATCCAACCAGCAGCTTTCACTTGAGAATCTTTCAGATAAAAGCTAAAGTCAGAATTGATGTATGGCCTCTGATGAGGGAGCAGCGCTGAAAGCGCTTTAAGTGCTATTTCTGCTGCTGTCAGGACACACTTTAATCAGACGTTTGAGTCTGAAGCCAAACTTGGCCGAAAGTGTCGTCTACTCAGTAAAGGAGATTATGGCTTGACCTAAACCCTGTGAGACAAGTTGATCCTGAGGTTATCAGTCATTATACTGTAAAGAGTGAGGGGAAGCTTAGGGTTTCTGTCCTGTGAAAGGGCCGGTTCTTTGGTGTTTGAAACACGCTGAGACTTTTTATAAAAGGAGTTATTGTTCAGGTTAAGTGATTAAAATTAGGTTAGATTAATTCTCTGATGTTAGGCAACTGGAGGGTTGAAGGCACTAAAGCAGAGATGCACAGATTCTGGTTCTGAGAGAAGAAACTGTTTCCATTTCTTTCAAATGATCAGAGTACAAAGCAGCCATTTTCTGAATCGCCTTCTCAGTAGGGTTGATGGGCGCCGGTGTCTCGGTCATCCTGCAAGAGGTGGCAGACACCCTGGACAGATCTCCACACCAGTGGCGGCTGGCCAGTAGAGGGCGATAGGGCGCCGCCCTCCCAGTTTCCCCACTGTTTTTAATTTTTATTTTAAAAAAATAAATAAACAAAATTAACAATAATCACATATTCTAAGTTAATTGTGTGTTTTGTAACAAAAATAAATCATATATATATATATATATATATATATATATATATATATATATATATATATGTATATATATATATATATATGTATATATATATATATATGTTGGTCTCTGCCGGTCTCTGCCGAGCGGTGGAGGCTGTGTGCTGTTTTTCAATCGCCCAAACAGGACGAGACCAGCTGTCCAATTGCTGACAAGAAAATCAAAGGGTAGGAATGGGAATGTATCCAATCAGCGTCGACGTTGTTTCAGAACGTTTCAGAAGCATGATGGGCGATAGAGCTACCGCCAAGGCTTTCGTTGGTGTTCGGTAGAACTCGGAGAGTCTCGACTCCAGCACGTTTTTGGTCGTGACTCGTGACGCGCATGGAGCAGACGCAGACATGGACGCCAGTGACTACAACCAGCACGGATACCGGATCTCAGCAGCCACTGAATTCAGTTCGGTCTCTTCTCCAGTATCCGTTCGAGAGGAGAACTATGGTGGAAAAACTTAATGTCAAAGAGCTTGGACCAGATCAGCCCGACGTAAAGATAAGCCAGCAGGAGAAGGAGAGAGGTAAACTGTACACACGACGCTTCTCCCAAAATTGGTACACCAGGAAGCAGTGGCTAGCTGGATGCAATCACGCTAATGCGTTATTTTGCTTTCTGTGTTTGTTATTCAAAACGGCTGGGATCCACAGAAGGTGGATGTGGAACTTGTGTCTCATTGGGGACTCCATTCATTCTCTGACTGAGGAATGCAGCGCATCAGTGCAGCAGCAGCCAACAAAGAAACGGAGGACGTTTGGACAGGGAGAACAGCAGCTGGGTGCAGAGGTAAGCTGTACATTACATTTCTGTAAACAAGACAATCAGAATCAGAAATCCTTGGTTGTCCCACAAACCGGGACATTTGTTTAATAACATGTTTAATGTGCAATAACTGTAAAAACTAATTTCAACACACATACCTATTTTACATATTTAATCATGTAAATGTGTATTTCAAGTAAATTTGTACATCAATCTGATTCCATTTTACTTGTTACACTTCTGCTGCAGCAAACAAATTTCCCAGCTTTTGGGACAATAAAACATTTCTGATTCTCAATGAGGTGTTTTTACATTTGAAGTAAAAACATCTCATTGAGAACCAGAAATGTGTTATTGTCCCAAAAAGTGGGAAATATGACATTTGTAAGAGGATACTGATGACATTATTTCCTATGAAAGTGTTTCCACTTTCCATAAGTCCTAACAGTGTAAATTTCTGGCATTTTGTCTAAGTGGTGTTTACTACCATTACTGTAACAGTGACCTGTTCATAATTTTTCGTGTTCACTCAAATGTTGAAATTAAACAAAATGTTTTTGTTACTTGCCTCTTGCATTGCCTATTTACCATTTATGGTCGTGTTATTTTATGTGCAATTTAATGCAGTATTTTTCAACCTTGGTCTGCAAGGCAGTTTGCCAATAGTCAGACACACCTGGATTAATCAGTTTGTCCAATGATGTAAGACAGGAATTAAAAGAGCTGTGCTTAATTCGGGAAATAGTGAAGTTGTGCACAAAGCTCAGAAAGCACAAGTTTGTTTAAAAATAAAATAGCACAGCCCCACCAAAAATATTTTTCACCAGCCGCCACTGCTCCACACCATTGCAGACACACACACAGACAACCAATCACAAACCCACTCACACCAATGTAAGGCATAGTCCACCTTTTGGAGCTTCTGGTCATGTTATAGTGTTATTTCCTCATGTAAAACCCAGCCAAAGCATTTTTTTTTTCACGCATGCATTCGGGAAAACCACCCAATGGATAGGTCATGGTGATGAGTACAACCAAAATACTATCCTCTAACTAAATGGTTTTACAGGTTGGTGCGTGAGAGTCATGGGCATAGGGGCAATAATAAAGGCCTGCCATCTCAGTCTCCTCTTCTACGTTTGAGTGGTGTGTGTGTGTGGGTGTCGGTAATCACTAAGTGTGTCACTTCAGCGACCAGGCCAGCGGGAAATTTCCTGGTGCTACAGGTACTGATCATCACTGGAGCTGCTAAATTCAAGGCAGGAAAGGCAAAAATGGCTTCAGCTTAGTCCGTTTTACTGATACTTGCTTTGATAGAAGCTGAGAGTCAGTCACAAGTTCTTTATTGAGATCAGGGGAGGAAGCTCGAGTGAAAATGTGTATCAAAACATCAACATCGATATCAGCCGATGTTAGTCATTTTTTAACATAATGGCATCGGTCCATTGAGTGAAACTGCAGCCGATATTAACAAGCAATTTTTTCTACATCTGGTTTCTGTTTGTGTATCTGTTTCAGAGGGTGTGTGTGTGGTGGTGGTGGTGGTGGTGGTGGGGGGGGGGGGGGGGGGGGGGGTATGTATAATTGTTTGGTCTTATGACAGTGATGGTAATCATCTCAGAGATGGTAATGTGTGAGTTGTGTGTATATAATAATGTAAATACACACAGACTCACACATGCACGTATATATAAATAAAGATCTAGTTTGCACTTTATAGGAATAAATAGAATACAATAGACTTTATTTATCCCACTGTGGGATCAAGATATTAAAAAATGTTGCTAACATATTTTTCTGTCTATACAAAATCTGCTGATTTTAGAAGCATAAATGTCAGCATGTGGCATCAGCAAATATCTGTTATCGGCCATAACAGCGATACTAATATTGAATATCGGTATCGGCCCAATATTTCAGATTGGTCCATCCCCACTGTAGATCAGTCATCTTGCTTAGGTTGAAACCTGTGCCGGTGTGGCCTGACAGACCATGTTTGGTAGCACTCAGATGCAAGCCATCCTTTATATTTGAATATATGCAGAGCAAAATTATTTTTGCTTTATCAACTGACTAGACTAGATTTTAGGCTACATGTTTGGGGCACCGAGCTTCAAAAAATATACACAAAGTTTCAGTTACGGCTAACGTTGTCTTGGTGTTTTTGCACAAGACACCGTTGGGATGTTGGCACAGTGCATCTCCTCGCTATAGGTAACGTCAAGCATCATCACTGAATAGATAACACACTGCAAACAGCACTTGTGGAGGCTGAAGTGATGCAGCAGGAAAGAAAAACAGAACCTAAAGCTGCATCCGGCTGTAAGGTGAGTATGCGTGAGGTTGTGAAGTGATGCATCAGCAAACACGCACTTCACTGTTTGCACTAATATTCAGTTCATGAATTCTTCAGCAGCTGTGGAAGAGAAAAGGAGGACTCATTAGCTGTGAGAACAGCCTGGGAATGTCTGAGTGTCTACCTAATGACCCCAACTCCTTCCAAACCGAATCTAAGCTGGAAATAAATCCACCTTAACAAGCTCTTCCTCTTGGTGCTCACCCCAAGGTGGACATGCGCAGGAACATTTGTGAATTAAAGATAATTTTACACCTGAATCAGCTGCAGTGTTATAGGAAATCATAGGATATTGTTGTTTTAATTGTTTTCCAATTTAGTTCGATCTGGGCTGATAAACAGGATCATTTGTCATGATGTAAAAAATGATCAACATAATAAAGTGAGTGTGAATTAAAGCGATTTTGTTTATTTTTAAATATATAAATATTTCATCCTGGAAATAATCGTCATCAGATGCTTCGACAGCTGATGATCTATTTTTACCATTGATTCTTACAGTGTTGTTCACAACACGCTAATAAAATGTGAAGACGTTACCGAACAGCGGGTCTGCTTCGTCTAATCCCCTCCTGAGCTCAGGGCGGGCCGGCCCGGCCGTCCACAACTTCCCGAAGCCCCACAAACCAGCCGCACCTTCCCGGGACAGCGGAGAAGTCAATTAATCCACATCACCTGGAGCTGAGGCTGCACGCGGAATTAGGAAATCCCGAGGCAGATCAAAAAGGTGCGCTTGTGTTCCTCGCGCAGGTCCCCTGGGTACAGGTGAGCGCGTGATGCGGACGGGAAGTCAGCCATAAGTGCACGCAGTTTAGCGTTACTCGTTAATCTCCTCAATCAACTGTCCCGTCCTTCTGTGACGCTGCCTCCCGTTCTTATCACTGACACACATGTAGGGGCGAGCGTATTTTCATGAATTATAAAACATATGCAAATTTAGAATTAATATACGATTATTTCTGGTTTCTTGAGATCTTTTCAAAACCATAGCTTAGTGTTTTTAATTAAATAGGGTAAAAAAAAATAAACAAACACACAAAATACCCCAATTACTCTTAGACCTTAAATAGGCTTCTGGTGCCCCCTTTTGGCAGAAAGGCGTCACTACAGTGCTATAATAGGTACGTGTTCAGAGGCTAAAACTAATTCTGTCTAAAAATAACATGAAGCAGAGAAGCAAATAAAAAGACAGCATGTCCAATGATTAAATATAATTACTATTTTACGTATATTTTATATCTTTTAAAAACCAAAGAGTCCAAAATGATAGATGGCCTGTATTTGATATTGCGCCTAGAGTTCTGGAACCCCAAAGGTGGGTTACTACACAAACATGTATCAAATACCAAATAAATTATGTAGAGATTTTGTTATATTCGCATATAAAGTTGAAAAGATTAAATACAAGACATTTAAAACAATTATTGTTATAAATAATATAAGGTTGAGTAGGGGGACATTGTGATTTCAAAAGAACTTGGAGCATTAGAAAAACTATGTGAGGTCTCAGAATCATTACTGTTCTGTCAGGTGGTGAATTAATCTAATTCATTTGTTTTGTAAATATAAGTCTGTCTGCTTCAATCAGAACAACCAGTGGTGGAAGAAGTACAAGTAGTACATCATTTGATGAGCTTTGTAAAAGTACATATTAAGGGGGAAAGTAAATACTTAAGGTAAAGTGGAAGACATTTTTGATTTAAGTAAAAGTATTAAATTATGTATTTTCAAATCTACTTAAAAGTTCAAAAGTATAAATATTTAATAACATGTATTGTGGGTGGAGTAGTGTTCTGTTGGACAAGGGATGAGGGAGAAGTACGTATTAGTACTATGTTACATTAAATATAAAACAAGAGGGAGTACAACTTTATAGACTATGATTTTTGAAGGCATAAGTGACAATGATAGCAAAAATAAAACATTTATGTTCTGTCACGTTTGAGCCAGGAGAAGGTCAGGACCCAAGATGCAGAAACCCAGAACGACACAAGTGTTATATTCTGGTCTCATTCATGACAAACTCCAGAATATCTATTTCCCACCCAACGGGGTAGTAAGGTTTATTAACAAGTCTACACCAACATACAGTCTCGGCTGACACCCCATACCGGTGTGTCCTCTAAAAACGCCCGTGCAGCAACACAACACACTGCGGAACCAACCAAGCCAAACAACAATGCACATCATTACATCCCTTCTCTTTTTTTTTCTTTTTGATTTGTCCTTCTTCTTACTAAGGGAGAAACAATATGAAACACTAACAGAACACAAAAACATTCCGCTATTCGAACATATACATGTCTGCAACTGTAGTGGACATGTGTGTCCATAGAACACATAACTTTTCCCCTCAACCAATAAAGACTGTCAAGTCCTCATTATGGAACATAGTCCTTGTACCGAAGTGGTGGAACCACTTTGCGGCCAGACCGTGTCCTGATACCCCCCTGTTACCACGTCAGACTCCAATTCCAATTTTATTCATAAAGCGCATTCAACAAGGCATTACAACCAAACAAGGCGCTGTACACTAAAAATGTTAGTTAATTAAACCGGCGTTATACAATCATGTCGATCAAAGATAAAAGATAAAAAGGAAATACAACAAAATTCCCCAAAACTAACAGCTAAAAATCAATAAGACACAGGGAGAATAAAAAATTAGAAAAAACATTTTAAAAAAGAACCTCAATAGTACGGAAGTCGATATTGTGAATTCCATTTTTTAAACAATGTAGTTGTAAGTGAGGTTCATAATTATGTGGTATACGCTAGGTTGAAGTAGTGAGTTTTCATGCGTGATTTAAAAATGCTACCTGACTCGATCCGCTGCTCACGACTTTCCGACGGATCCATCACTGAGCTGCTCAGTGCCCCAGTGTCTGTCATGGCATTGTCTGGATCCATCACGCCTGCATGTCTCAGGTGCCTCCGATTCCTCCTCAGGACACTCCCAGAATCCAACCGAACCTCATAGGACCTCGGGTCAACAGTCCCAACAACCACTCCCCTGCTCCAAGTGGAGTGGCGGTCCAAAGGCTGAACCCTGACACTGTCCCCAAGCTCAAAGAGTCCATGTCACGTGCTGACCGATCATAGCACTCTTTTTGGCGCTTCTGTTTCATCTGCAACTCCCGCCGGGCAGGAATGACTTTTGGCCTTAGCAGGCTCGTCCTGGTTGGCAAAAGCGTCCGTGTTCTCCTGCTGAGCAGCCTCTGAGCTGGGCTGGTCTCAGGCCTTGTGATGGTGTGTTGCGATGGTCCAGAATCGCCAGATACGGGTCCTGCCCCGCCAGTTTTGCCTTTCGCAGCAGCCTTTTTGCTGTCTTCACCGCTGATTCGGCCTTCCCATTACTCTGAGGGTAACCTGGCGAAGATGTTTTGTGCTGAAAATTCCACAGTCGACTAAATCTCAGAAACTCACCGGACGTATACTGCGGTCAGTTATCTGAGACAACAATGTCTGGGATGCCCTGTCTGGCAAAGTGGGCCTTCAACTTCCTAATCACTGTGGTGGACTTAGTGTCCGGGAGATAGTCAATTTCCCAGAAGTTTGAATAGTAGTCCACTGTGATAAGGTAGTCCTTGTTGTCAAACATGAACAGGTCTGAGGCCACCTTAGCCCACGGTCTCGTCGGGAACTCGTGAGGAACCAAAGTCTCTTTCTGCTGTCTGTAATCTACTGACCTGCAGATGTCACACTTAGTCACATACGTCTTAATTTGTTCATTCATGCCTGGCCAATACACACACTCTCTGGCTCTCCGTAGGCAACCTTCTACACCTAGGTGTGTCGAGTGCAGTCTGGCTATGATCTGCTGTCTCATGACAGTCGGGACAACAACACGTTCACCCCTAAAGACAAGTCCATCCTGACTACTCAGTTCATCCTGGAACGAGAAGTATGGTCTGATGTCACCATCAGTGTCTCTTTTGTCAGTTGGCCACCCTCTGTGAATTGTGTCTATGAGGGTTTGTAGTGCTTTGTCCTCCTGTGTAGCAATCCTTATGCTGTTTAATCTGTCTGGTGAGATGGGTGCATGAGTGACCATGTTAATGTTCTCTATTTCCTCCTCTATGGAGCCCTGAGGTGAGCACTCTGGAAGATATGCCCTACTCAACGTGTCAGCTAATAGCATGTCTTTGCCTGGCACATACACCACATCTAAGTCATATTTCTGAATGCGCATAAGCATCCTTTGCAACCGTTTGGGTGCACTCAACAGCGGTTTCCTTACAATGGTCTCCAAAGGTTTGTGATCACTGTGTACAACCACTTTACGACCATACGTGTACTGGTGAAACTTCTCCAAACTGAAAACGACAGCCAAAAGCTCCTTCTCTATCTGGGCATAACCTTGCTCTGTACGTGTAAGAGCTCTACTCGCAAAAGCCACAGGCTTACCCTTCTGCATGAGTGCTGCACCTAATCCTTTGTCAGAAGCGTCACACTGTACTGTCAGTTCTTCCTCTGGGCAGTAGTATTTCAGGACTGGAGCCACTGCTATAGTCTCTTTCAGTATCTGGAAAGCATCGTCATGACGAGTCGTCCAATTCCACTCACTGTCTTTGTGTGTCAGTCGTCTCAGTAAGTCACAGTGATCTGACAGATGTGGGCAAAACTTTGCTAAGTAGTTCACCATCCCTAACAGTCTCTGCACTGCCTTCACATCTGTCGGCCTGGGCATCTGCTCTATGGCCCTAACCTTCTCTGGGTCTATTTTCAGACCGTTGCATGTGTAGCGTTATGGTTTATGCTCTTTTATGAAAGAGGAACCATTCTACATATTAATTTGTGATATTAATTTTATTAAATAAATAACCAAATTGTATAGTTTTAAGAAGACTCAAAGGTTGTTTTCATCGATAAACTGACGATAATATCCGTGTGTCTGTGTTTCAGTTCAATGAAGAAACCAGTTTGAAAGTTAAAAGTTTTAATTCTTCAAATTAAACTAATGATTTTTGAAATGACAAACATGGAAATAACAATCAACATTGGCAACTTTGTAGGACAATCTTTAACAGCTGATATGCTTGCTCAAATAGACCTTGTGGTGAATGTGTGAAGATTGAACATGAGGTGAGATGAATGCGTGTGTGCGTCTGATTTTGCTTCAGGAAGAAACAGGTGTCTGAGTGAAAAGTGATGGTTTGAATAAACTTAGGTTTTGTTGGAAAAGAGGCATCAAACGCTATCTGGTTGTGGACTGCCTCACCGTATTCAGGACTCCCTTTCGGATCCGGATCCCAGGAGGGTGGTACTCCAGATGACACCTCGGCTGGCAGAGGAGACGAAGGTGTGCTGGCGCTCCGGTCCAGAGATGACCTCGGTACACGTTGTTGAAGCGTTTGTAGATGCGCTTTCTTAAGTTTAATTCACTCAGAAAATCAAAGGACTCGAGGCGAGTCCGCGTTAGTTGTTGCAATTCAGCTATTCCTAGGAATAGCGTGGGGGGGGGGGGGGGGGGGGAATGAGCCGATCGGCTCTGTCCCCCCTTTTGCGTTTATTCAGGTCTTCTCTCTTTCGTTGTCCAGCACGAACTGAATCACGAACTGAAAAACTTACCAAAAGCCTTTCTCTTCTCAAAGCAAAACGTGTGCGTCAGCAAATGTGTTTTGGAGTTTACTGTGAGAGCAGATGTGTGTGTGTGAGTGTGTGTGTGTGTGAAGGTCACCACTAAAACATCCACAGAACATTATTTAATTAAGCAGTGATTCATTAGTTATTATGACTACCCAAAGCATAATAATCATTCATTTGATTAAAACACATTTATAATGAGCAAAGTGATAATACTGATCATTTAACAACTTAAAATAAAGGGAAGGAAGTTTGTTATGTTATGACTACTTTTCCATGAGAACACATCTTCTGGCGCTGCAGGTGGCAGATGTTATGGTTTCCAGCAGACTCTTGCAGACTTCATGTCTGCAAAGGTCTCTATTTGTGGGCGAAAGTTCTCAGCGACCCAGCACTTGACCCAGCCGAGTCAAATGACCTTTGGCACAGAAAACCCATATTTCC